ACAAAAAGACGAGACGAAAAAACCTCAACCAGGGCACCACCGTGACATATCCACGACCTTCTGTTACCTTTTCACAGTATTACACGTGTTATTCAGAGGGCGTGAATGGCACAGTGTCCAAGTGTAAAGCCCGTTTCAAAGCTTCCACACAACCAACTGATTTAGTTGTGCGCTGAAACTTAAGGGTCACACCAGAGTTCTCACTTGTTATAATTCGACAGAACCCTTTTCTGCTATTCCATGTCCCCAAAATACACAACTACTTGAGATCTAGGCCAGGAATTCTTGAAACAGTCTGAATTTCCCAATACACTAAAAGACAAAAAATATCAATTAAGTTCAAAACCACCACACATTTAAAATTATAACAGGATCATATGTAAATATATTTATATTTATCATTTATCATCCAATTCTTATAATACTTAATAGGTATTTTTATTTATTCAGTTATTTTATCTTTTATTTCTTTATTGATCTATTTATTTATTTCATTTTTGGTCTACAGGAATCCTAATTTCTCAGCCGTGCATAAGGAACTCTATTGCTCTACTGCTATACCTGTAACGGGTGTGAGGCTGGATCCAAGTACAGCACAGACTGAGACCGGCATCGAACAGTTCAACAGTTTATTGTCCCAACAAACTGGAGACAGACAAGGGGCGAGAAGGTGGAGGAGTCAGGGACAGAAAGCTGTTCAGGTTACCAGGGCAGGGACGACAAGGACGAGTCAGGGACAAGCAGGGTCAAAACCCTCAGGTGAGGGAACACAGGTTAAGGTGGTTGCACTGATGAGGCAGACGTGAGGTTGGAGGGGGGCCGAGGAGGGCTAAAACTCCTCGGAGGCAGCACAGTCCCCATCCTCCGTAGTAGAAGAGGAAGATGAGCAGGAAAAGGCAGCCACAGCGGTGCCCCCCCTCACCAGAGATTCAGAAGGTCCATCAGCAGATGGGCCAGCAGAAGGCGGATGTAAGGACGGGGCACGCACGCTGAACGAAGGCTTGTGCTGATGGGCAGGCAGCCTCCCTCTGTTGGTTGGCAAATAGTTGGGGCTGATACCCATAGGCGCACTGGAAGGGTGAAAGTCCAGTGGAAGAGCAGGTGAGGGTGTTGTGGGCATATTCTACCCAGATCAGTTGTTCAGACCAGGAAGCAGGGTTGTGGTTGATCAAGCAGCGAAGAGTGGTCTCCAGGTCCTGGTTCATTCTCTCAATCTGCCCATTGGACTGGGGGTGGAAGCCAACACAGACTGTGACGGAGGCCCCAACAAGATAAAAACTCTTTCCAGAACATAGACATGAACTGGGGACCCAGGTCAGAGACAATGACAGTGGGCAGTCCATGGAGACGAAAAATGTTCTGGAGAACCAGTTCAGCTGTCTCTTGGCAGAGGGAAGCTTGGAAAGGGGAATGAAGTGGACCGTCTTGCTAAAACGGTCAACAACTGTTAGGATGGCAGTGTGGCCTTTGGATGTAGGTAGGCCAGGGAGATGTGTGACCATGGGTGATGAGGAACAGGCAATGGGTGCAGGAAACCGGCTGGTGGACGATGAGAGGTCTTGTTCTGGTTGCACACAGGACAGAAGTTGACAAAGCCTCGGACATCCTCCTCCAGTGATGACCACCAGAAGCACTGCTGAAGGAAGTCTCGGGTCCGCTGAATGCCAGGGTGGCAAGTCAGCCGGGAAGCATGCCCCCAATGGAGCACATCGGAGCGGAGGTGAGCCAGAACAAACAAAAGGTCAGGGGGACAGGAACTGGGACCAGGCTGGTCCTCAGTGGCAGCCCACACCCTTTCATATGTCCCAAGTGGCAGAGGCAATGGGACAGGAGGCCGGAACGATTGGTGGAGTGCTCAACCGACACTCAGGAAACTGCTGGGAAAGTGCATCTGGTTTAATGTTATGAGACCCGGGTCGATAGGACAGTGTAAAGTTGAACCTATCAATGAACAGTGACCAGCGGGCCTGTCTGGAATTTAGTCTCTTGGCAGATCGAATACATTCCACGTTGCGGTGATCAGTCCACACAATGAATGGCACCTTGGCTCCCTCCAGCCAGTGGCGCCACTCCTCAAAGGCCAGTTTCACCGCCAGAAGCTCCCTGTTACCAATATTGTAGTTCCTTTTTGTGGGGGTTAGGCAGCGAGAGAAAAAGGCACAGGGTGGATCATCTGGTCGATGGAGGAGTGCTGAGTCAGAACCGCCCCTACCCCCACGCCGGATGCGTCTACCTTCACAATGAACTGGCGCTCAGGTTTGGGGATCTGGAGGATGGGAACAGTGGAGAAGCAAGTCTTGAGGGTGTCAAAGGCACCTTGTGCTTTCTCAGTCCAGCAGAAGGATGTCTTGGATAAGGTGAGGGCCGAGAGGGGACAGGCAATGGAGCTGAAACCTCAGATGAAACGCCGGTAGAAATTGGCAAACCCCAGGAAACGCTGCAGTTGCTTGTAGGGATGGAACGGTTTATGAAAACCGTCCGAATTGTTCGGTTCGACTGTCTCGGTTCGATTCACGTGTGTTGCTCCTTTTTCTCATAAGGAAGCGTGTACACTCCAGACCAGAAGGTGGCGGTACTGCGTCCAAAGCCAACCACCAGTAGTGAACAAGAAGAAGAAGCGAAGCGGCGAAGCCTGTTTAGCAAATAGAAATCAGACGCGCCAGCAGCCCTTTATAGGTCTGCTGTATGGGACCACTGTGCATTTAGAGTGAAGCACATGTTGGAACTAGCACTGTGTCCTCTCTGGCAATGCCAGAATCTCACCTACTTTTAACCTCAGACCGTCACAATGATGTATCAAATGTCAGACTGCTTTTTTATTTCAGTTTTAACCTGAATATACAAGACATGATGGATTTTCCTAACAATCAACATATACCGAACCGAACCGAAAACCATGACCAGGAGTCAGGGACAGAAAGCTGTTCAGGTTACCAGGGCAGGGACGACAATGAAGAGTCAGGGACAAGCAGGGTCAAAACCAAGGAAGCAATCCGGATGAAAACGCTTGAGAACTTTGCATGCTGCTAAAAACAGTCTGGCAGAGACTGAGAGGAAAGAGTGGGTTTAAATCAGGTGAGGGAACACAAGTGAAGGTGGTTGCACTGATGAGGCAGACGTGATCAGGAAAAGTACTGGCAGAGCTGGCAGTATGATGGAAAACCAGGAGCGGATTATGACAATACCAACATATTGAAGACAGAAACACTTTTCTACTTGTCTTGTTTTACCTTAGAACATTTTTTACTGCTCTCCAGCAGTTCCTCCAGGGCTTTTAGGAAACAGTTGTCACTGATCCTTCAAGAAGCTTCAATTTCTGGGAAAGAATTGGCATCTCTTTTATAATCAATGCAATAATAAATTAATTCATTGATTAATTAATCAATTCATTCATTAATTAATCAATTAATTAGTTGTTCATGAATTAAGTTGCAAACTACAATGTATAATTTATTCGGGTCACAGGTAAAGTATGGTATATCCGCTCTGGAATAATTTTGTGAGTGGTCATGCATGAACACAGACACAAAGAGCACTTCTTTCTGCATGAGATACACAGATAGCTTCTTGGGCTTGCAACGCGCTGTAAAATAGGCTGGGCTTCACAGCTGAGTCTCATTGGTCAGTTATCTCTGAAGTGAGCATGCCAGCATCTTATTCCCTGATCACTGAATGTGTTAAAGTAGTGAATGGGTGTTGCAGTGGCCATGTACCTAATGCAGCATACTTACAGTAACTATTTAACAGGCACCGATAACTGTTGTTATCAATTATGGTCCCCACAAAAAGAGACAGAGAGAAACAGAGAAACGGAAAGCTTAGAGTACATACAAGTCTAGAATTTAACAGCAAAAGGCATTTATAAAAAAGCGCTACAAGAATAGGGGTGTCTGTCCATTTTATGTCTTGAAGACCCAGCTCTTCAGAGAGCATCTTCCAGCCTATCTCTCACCCTGTAACCCCACCCCCTCTACTACATTTTCTGTACTTCCCTCTATGTCTACAGTATTGCCTCTAGTCAGAGTCTGACTAGTGATTTACATCCATTTTGCTAATTGTTAGGGTGATGCTTACTGTAATATTGTGTCTGCATTGTATGTTTCTCTGGATAAAAGCATCTGATAAATGTAAATGTAACATAAACAGTTTCTAGTTGGTCCACATCAGACAAAGACACAGAGTTATCATGAGCAAGCCAAGCCTAATCATAAGTGAATTGATTTGTGTGTATGTTAGACCGTCAGGACTTGGAGGAGCCCTCCAAAGTGGACCAGCTTCAGGAGCCACTGCTAGAAGCTCTGAAAATCTATGTGAGGAAACGCCGGCCTAACAAACCATACATATTCCCAAAAACTCTAATGAAAATCACAGACCTGCGCAGCATCAGCGCCAAAGGTAAGAATAAAGTCCAGATTTCATGCAGGTGGAGGAGATAATCTGTTAGTGGCAATATACTGGTCAGTCATAACATTACGGCACCCACCCAATTTTAGATAAGTTCCTCTTTTGCAACTTAAACTGACTTTTACTCGCATAGACGTTAGATATCTGGCATTCCTCTGTGGTATTCAAAATTTGGGGACCTCATCTTCACCTCAAAGTAGTCATTTGCCTAACAAAAATAAATAAATAATAATAATATAAATTTTTTTAACCAATTTTGTTGAGTGGGACATCGTTATGCTGATAGAGGCCAATGCAATCAGGGACACTTTGTTTTCAATGAAGGGATGATCAGTAACGTTTAGAGTGTGACACTTGCAGGAGCAGAACGGGTCATCTCTCTCAAAATGGAGATTCCAGGTTCCATGCCACCACTCATCCAGGAGATGTTGGAGAACTCAGAAGGGCAAGATGGCCAGATCAACTACCACACTTCATTTGAGGCTGAGGCAAGACCCAGCAAGGGAAGTACCATGGAGGACACAGTTGGGTTAAAGCCCTACGATACAGAGGGGGCTGCAGACACTTAGTGCAGCAGCAATCCCTAGGAGGTGCCTGAAGGTGCCTCTGAAACTTTGACATTCCTTTGCACAAAAAAAAAACAGCCAGCAAGCACCAACCTACTCTACCATGACTCCTTTCACTCCGTTTGCTTAGTTTTATGTTAACTCAAAATCCTTAAAATAGGAGAGAAAATCCTTTTTCTTTCCTATTTACTGCAAATTTTCTCCTTAGAATATAAACTGTCTACAAAGGTAGATGTGCAAAGATGTGCTTTGTTTAAAATTTTGATTGATCTCTTATTTGACATAATGTCTCAAGGGACTGAAATTATAAAAAACTGTGCCCCATCAAACAACCAGGGATGATAGTCCTCAGGTCTCCTTTGTAAATTCTTATCTGCATGATGAAATTCTCATCATGTCTTAAACTTTTGGCATAAAAAAGTACATTGTACATAACATATTATGCGTAAGTTTCTGTTTCTATGAGGATGTGGTACTTTTTCATTTCTTAAATGTATCAGAGGCAAAATATTTAGTAAGGTTTAAAGCAGCACTATTTCAATATTATTGCACACAGACGTTAAAGAAGACATTAAAATGTCATTGGTTCATGTCGCTTTGTGAATGAGTATACATCCATGCTGCTCCATATCTAATGCTGAGTCTTTCTAACTGTTTCCTCAACAAGGGAAGCACAGCAGAAGCCTTTGATACATAGTCATCAAATGCCAACATGTGCTTCACTTTCTGGAATAAAAGTCAGTTGCACAGATTAGATTAGAAAAAAAGAATCTAAGAGCTTAATTTGGACACTCATACTCCAGACCAAGTCAACTCAACCATCCATCCATTATCCATCCATTATCGTTACCGCTTATTCCATTATGGGGTAGCGGGGGATCTGGAGCCTATCCCAGTTGTCAATGGGCGAGAGGCAGACGCTCCGGCAGTCCATAGCAGGGCCACAAAGAAGCATAAAAGGACAAAAAAACCATGCACACTCACTCCTCAGGGTAATTTGGAATGTCCAATCAACCTAACATGCAGGGTTTTGGACTCCATAGAACACATGCAGACACAGGGAGAAAATGCAAACTCCACACAGAAAAGTCCTGGTTCCCCCGGGACTCGAACCCCACCATCGCCCACTGCTGTGAGGCGATGGTGCTAACCACCACATCACCGTGCCGCCTCTCAACTCAACCAACAATTTTTAAAACATGTGCAAAGTTAGCTCGCTTTTAGATGCTAGTATTTGTTTTGCAAGAGGCTGCTATGACAAAGCATCTATACTTTTTACAATGTACTTCAATTTAGTCAAATAATCAACTTAATCTAAATATGGAAATCTTGGTAAAACAAAATTAAACAAATTAACCTAAAATTACATCATGTATTTGGATCGTTTGTATGGTTATTGGTAGAAAATGCCTTATACGCATAGACAGCTCCTTCTGACATGGTTGCCCAAGATTAAAATAGAAGTTTACATTACTTGCTAAAAGAATGTTATCAAGTTAAAATTGTCAAATATAAAACCCACATTTAACATTAATATCAATGAACAGAGCTGCATGCATCACCATCATGTTTTAGAAATTAACATTAGCTATATAGCCGATGGCAATAGTTGTTTCTTGCCATCATGCCAATTATATAATTACACTCTCCAAACTCCAAAGGCTTTTCAGATGTCCATTGTCTTGGTCCTTTGCTTAATTTCGCTAGCTTGCCAGACAGTTAAATGAGATAACTGGTCTTGTGTCAACCTCATGACTGATGTTGCTGCAGTTAAAAACATAATGTTAAGGCTAACGAAAAAAACTAGGAGGGAACGTCTGGCAGTCTTTTGAGATGGCACGCCACCGTTTATTCTCCCAGATGTAGGGATGGAACACAAACAAAACAAAACACAGGAGACCTGCAGAGTGAGGATGGCAGGACACAGAGAGCGTGGGGGCAGGGAGCTGTGGAAGGCGCACTGGGGTCGTTCCTTGGACAAAAGGATAAGGCAAAAATAGTTAAATTCTGTACGCCAGGGCAAAAGATATGCAATGCAAAAACGGCAGTCGTAGGAACTGGGCTCGAGGTTACCATACGGGTTGTACGTCAGAGCGCTGACTGAAGGTCCCAGCGTCCTTAAGAAGGTTCCCCAGGTAATTGGAATTGACGAGTTCTTAGCTGGACACACCTGTGGCTGTGTCCCTGGGGTAGGCCTCCTGGCTCTCTGCCCCACAACAGGACCCCCCTCCCGACGGGAGACACCGGGCAACAGTCCAATGGCGTCAGGATTAGCCCTGTAGAGGTCCCGTAGAAGAGCCGGATCGGCCAGGTAGGAGCGAGGCACCCAGCTCCGATCTTCGGGCCATACCCCACCCAGTCCACCAAATATTGGAAACCCTGTCCCCGACAGCGGACTGCGAGAAGGCGGTCCACCTCCCAAACCAAATCACCGTCATCCAGGACTCGGGGTGAAAGAGGCAAGGTGAGTAGAGAAACATGGAACACCGGGTGGACCCTCAGGGATGGAGGAAGGGTGAGGCGCATGGCCGCCGGGTTGATGACCCTCTCTACAGCCTAAACTGACTCCTACATAACGGGGAGCCAGTTTAGGGGAGGTGTGTGGGAGGGGAACGTCGCGGGACCATCTGTCCGGGCTGGTAGGATGGGGCCTCAGACCGCCGCTGGTTGGCGGCACGCTCAGATCGTTCTGTGGCCCTCTTTAGCGCAGCCCAAGCAAAAGTCCAGGTGTGGTGACAACGACAGAGCTGAGCGCGGACAGATTTTACAGAGATATCAGCCACTTCAATTGGAAACAGAGGGGGCTGGTAGCCGAGGGATGCCTGGAAGAGGGACATACCGGTAGCTGCACACACCATGGTGTTGAGGGAGTACTCCACCCAGGGTAGGTACTTGACCCAGGTGGCAGGGTTGCTTGTGGTGATGCAGCGTAGGGCCGCCTCCAGCATCTGGTTGGCGTGTTCTGCCTGCCCATTAGACTGGGGATGGTAACCAGAGGAGAGGCTTGCCGTAGCACCGATTCCCCTGCAGAAGGCCCGCCAGACCTTGGAGATGAACTGGGGGCCATGCTCAGATATGATGTCCCTGGGAATTCCATGGGGGCGAACCACATGCTGGACCAGGTGCTCCGCTGTCTCAGCAGCTGAGGGAAGTTTGGGAAGGGGCACGAAATGAACTGCCTTTGAAAACCGGTCGACCACCATCAGGATGGTGTCATTGCCCTGATAGATGGGAAGACCAGTGACAAAGTCCAGGGCAATATGAGACCAAGGTCGACCAGGGAGGGGCAGAGGGTGCAGGAGATCTGCCGAGGACAGTTACTCCGTGCACAGTTCTCACAAGCTGCTACAAACTCCCTGGTGTCATCCCTGGTGTTCACACTTCTCAGCCTTGACAAAGAGGCGGTTCTCCAGCAGCTGCCGCAGGACCAGACGCCCTGCTGGAGGTGCTCCACCTCGGAACAAGAAAACACAAGGATATCATCCAAATATACAACAACAAAGGTGTTGAGCATGTCCCTGAGCACATCATTGACAAGGGGTGTGGAAGACAGCAGAGGCGTTGGTAAGGCCAAAAGGCATAACAAGGTACTCAAAATGGCCTGGGTGGGTATTAAAACCTGTCTTCCACTCATCCCTCTCTTTAATACGCACCAAGTGGTAAGCGTTTCTCAGGTCTAGCTTGGTGTAGATGGTGGCTTGAAAGAGAAGCTCGAATGAGGAGTCAAGTAGGGGGAGAAGATACTTGACTGATTTTATATTTTTTAATAATAAATAAAAGGCCTCAAACTACCATCCTTCTTCTTAACAAAGAAGAAGCCTGCTGCGACCGAGGAAGATGATGGTCGAATTATGCCAGTGGCATAGCCTCCTTTTCAGGGACTGAGAGGTTGTACAGGCGACTAACAGGGAGGGTGGCTCCTGGGAGGAGGGCTATGGAATAAGCATAGGGTCGGTGAGGTGGAAGGAACAGGGCCCTCTCCTTAGTAAACACCCCAGCCAAGTCATGATAGCAAGGAGGGATACCAGACAGGACCGGAGGAGAGGACACAGGGTTGGAACCTTTTATAGGAGAAAGTGCAGCATGCAGACAATTGGCATGGCAGGCAACTCTCCATCCCAGAATTTGCAGAGACTGGCAAAAATAGTAATAACTCTGTCCGCCAGGGAAAAAGATACGCAATGCAAAAACGTCAGTCGTAGGAACTGGGCTCGAGGTTACCATACGGGTTGTACGTCAGAGCACTGACTGAAGGTCCCAGCTTCTTTAAGAAGGCATCCCAGGTAACTGGCCACAGGTGTGCTGAATTGACCAGTCCCTAGCTGGACACACCTGTGGCTGTGTCCCTGGGGTAGGCCTCCTGGCTCTCTGCCCCACAACACATTAAGCCAACCAATCATCAAGCATCAAAGCATCCTCTTTTATGCCTCACCCTTTGAACTTTAAAATTCCAAATAATAGTCTGCCAATCTACTACAAGACTGCATTCACGATACTAACTTGCTAGGCTCAAGGGTGTTTTGAAGGCTGGAAATCCCCTTAAATCATCCACTTTTGGAATGAATATGTGTCATTATGAATAATAGTCATTTAAATTCCAAAGCAAGTCTGCAAACCACAACCAGTTCCAAGATGATCCTTTCTTAGTCCCAGGAAGACAATTGCAGAGCTTCCTAAACAGTGATATTATTCACACACTTTCTGGACTTACCTAGTCTGAAATTAATACACCTACTGAATGTACTTTCAGTAAGTTGTTTGGCTGTGTTAAAAAATAAGCAGCTACAAGAAACAAAACAATGAAAGAAATAAAAGAATGTCATATACAATACTATAACTATAGTTTACCTTTAGACCCTTTATTGCTTTGTGCACTTGAAATCATTGCTTCACAGTCATCTTGCATTGTTGGCATTTATGGTTTACCATACAGTCTGATCACCACTTAGAATAACATTTTCATAAACATAATGCCTGAACGTCTGCCAAATGAGTGTGTCGCT